GCGAAGGAGCGGCCACTACGTGAGGATAGACGACAAGCACAGACCATGGCAACTGTTCTGGGGTGATTTCGCTGAATATACTATCCAACATTGAAGGCAAAAAACGCCATTACACGCATACACTTACAATTTCTCTCAAAAATCTAAAAATCAACCAGGGAAACCTCGCCCCAAACCGACAGTCCTGGAAAAGAGCAGTGAAGACTGGAGCAGCAATCTGTGAAACAAAACCGATACCAAGGCCAACAGTAAAACTCACAAGTTGCAAGCGCCTCCAACTCCCAACGCCAACACCTGAGTCCTTCCAACAGGTCCACACCGCCAACGAACATTGCACACATGTATCGGCCTCGTCGAACACTACCCAACTCAATCCAAAAACAATCCGGAAATTCCACCTACTGTCTCCACAAACGCCTCTATCGTCACCCCTGCACCAACCTCTACGACGGCTGTCATCATCACTGACACTGGTGATCACACATTTGATGTCAACCATCTCTGTTATCTACGCCACGAACCTTGCGACGACGACGATGGCGAATACCACCTCTTCATCCTATAACGATGGTCTGACGCCCAACCAACTACCACTACCCCATCACCGGCAATGTGAACTCGATTTAAACATGTCCTCGCTCCGATCGCACTTTCACATCATAAATCGGCCTGGTCGGTCACTTGCGAATCGGTCGCTGTGATGTCAGCCGACCAGCACCAAGAGCTCCGACGGACACTCGCCACATCCGCCTCCCCTGTCCGTACTGCCCATGCGAATTCATTCATCGCATGAGCTTTCATGAAAACATGTGATAAAACACTGCTGAGCGAACCCAAACATCACATACCACCAACACGAAATTTGCGCCTCTCACACAAATGGGAATCGTGCTAACTGGGTCATTTTTCGTCTGATCCCTATGGATTTCTTTCGCCTGTGAAATCCGAATCAATACTGTGTTGCGTGGAGGTCAGTTATTATATGTGCAACATACAGTCAATCATTATGCTCCATCTCAGCATCAGTTTGTTGACAGGTTCGGACAATTGAATTACGCTTGGGTGAGTAAGGAAAACGTAGGGTTGATTCTCTGCGAATCAATCTGATGTGTTTGAACATATAACAGAGCGCTAAAATCTGTGACTTAGAAGGTTGAATACTGATGAGGTTACTTAGTCTCCTGGCACCCAGAGGGACGTGGTCCAGCTACTTTTACTCCTTTATGTGAACTTTATCGCATTACCCACTCAGATGGAATCCAAGCCGCCTCCTTTTCTGTCTGTTACCATCATGGCCGACTGTGCGTTGAGCCACATTTTATACTCCAAGGAAGAATATGTTTATGTTTTTAAAAAGATTTTCCGATTCCGGAATAATTTTTAGTCCAGTCCGCTGTTGCATATGTTTGTAGGAATCTGGAAGGAATACCATACATTCCTGTATGTTATTAAGGAGATAATCTATAATGGACTATGTTATATCCGTTATAATGAGTGCTAACAAATAACCGGTTACGACGCTATTTGAATGAACTTTGTACGGTCTACAAGTCGCACAATTAGAAGCTTTTCAAACCAGAAATATACCCCTTCATCCAGGATAAAATTTAAATTTAAATTTTGCCAAATGAGTACAAGAATAAATGCTTTTGTTTGCGATCCGTAAACAGTACCTTTGCATTTATAACGGCATCGAAACTCGATAGTATAAGTGCATCATACTGAAGTGGGTATTTTTACTAAGTATTTTTAGCTTGCGACTAAAAAGACGTGCATTTAAAAGCCGCCATCTTGGTGTGCCTAAAATATCTTATGAGTATGCTGCAATGTAAGCAATATTACAACCCCAATTAAATGAATCCTTCCTACTTGAAACAGCAGTTCAAAAGTTTGGTTACAATTTAATAACTAACTGTCTGCTTGGCTTACGACAATAACTAGGTTAAAGTTGTCCACTTCTATCTTCCTTATCCACGAGGCTAGTATTACAAGTATTCTAGTTTCTGCCCTAGTTGTATTCAAATTGATTTATGAACATTCATTCATAAATAAAAATACAAAAATGCTCACTCTTTTTTACCGCGGCTGGCAGTCCCTCAGAATGGCATTGAAGTGAATGACTGAGCCTTTCGTCAGCCAAGTCTGTTACTGCAAAAGTGCACAGTTGCGTGACCAGTAACCTGACTTTCAATGTATGGCTCTTTATCTGCATCAGCTAGGAACTATGTTTACTTTTAGTCACGCATCGAACGTTAATGGAGTACGCACCTACCTGCTGCGGCATCGGCCATGATCGAGAGTGACCGGAAAAGGCAACAATCAAAAGGCCGTACAATGCCGCCACACAATAACTAACTAGGGCTCCGATTTCACGCTAATCAGGTCTGCAATCTATTCAAATAGGTACTTTCTGCAATGAAACCTATGAGAAGAGGCGTCAGCGTTTATGAGTTGCTCCCGGCATGCTGCAGATGATTAAGGGGTTGGATGCAGCATTCACTAATGTCTTGCTCGCCATCTCCTCAGCTTACTTTGCTGCAGTTCCCGCCCTTTTTAATGTATCCAGCCAGAAATGGGGGGACATAAGCTGTCTTTCTTTAAAAATCAAAGATACCTACATGGAAAGGGGAACCAAAACTCGCCGTGGTTTTGCCCAACGTGAAAAGGTGTAATTGGTTACTTTTTATGATCTAGATTAGAAGATACTTACAGGAATTTTTTAATTAATACAATACCTAGGTAGCAGTTGGCCTTGTATTTATTAGGCTTCCGTTTGTTATATAATTCATCTTCGGTCAGTGCCCTACTTCGAAGCATTGTAACTTAAAGCCAAACTCGGGAGATGTAAGTAATTAAAATGTGTATTTTGGATGTGATTTAATCTGCAGGGCTTTGTAGTACTGACTGTTTCTGTGAGGAGTTCAGCCATTCAGAATGGTGTGCTACCCATGAGGCCGTAGGGGATGCCGGCGTTTTGGCGATCGGATGAAACTCACTGCCCTAATTGTCTGTACTTGTGGGTATTGTTTGGGGGTGGGGAGGGCAATACTTTGACTATCTTTTTGAATGTGTTCAAAAAAGTCCACGTGTGCCATAGGCGGGTCAGCGAGGGTACTGACCAAGAATTCGATTGACAGTCACATCTCTTTCACTTGCCTTGACGTATGATCGACATTATGGTTCAGCATATTGGTCCTGCCAAAGTTGGGAGGTAAGTATTGTCACCTGAGAATCTTCTTACCGCCAGTTGATATTCACACATCTGCGGCCATAGCTATCAGTCAATTTCCGTTGCCAGCCTAATGTAGATGAATAACAGCTGACAGTTTTTCGTAACAAATAGGTCTTTTAAACACATTACCTGAAAGAGGAGTGTTCAGTCAGACCCGCTAGTGGCCCCTTTTTTCGCATAGCGCGATGAATTTTGGTAGGGAATCGGAGGACTCACTGTATTGTACGGAGGCCTACGTCACTGCCTAAGCTCTTACGTTTTCCTGAGTTAGTATTTTCGGCGCATCATGGACTTGTCCGTGGATCCTAAGAATTATCAGAGGTAATTGCTCGCCTTCCTCGAGACAACAAACGTGCTGCATCACATTTCCAGTTGCTAGTAGGGCGAGCCTAGGAAACTGTATTTGTGCCGAAGCGGATGGTCTCTGTGGTGCCTCAGGAGCTGTGGTGTGAAAACCTGTTTCCTGTAGGCTATCGTTATCAGTTGCCAATCGATTTGGCTTCAGACAAGGACGCCCAAGAAAGGTGGTGGGTTGTTCACCCTACCATACAGCGTAAATCGTATATCCTTAATAACTGAGCCCATTAGCTTTTGCAATTATCAATCCTGTTCTGGTCGACAATACGAAGACGTCCTCAGCATAGCGTGCAACCAAATTGGATTTGCTTGTGGTGAAAAGCTATTTGTAAAGAAGAGGAAGACGCGATCTCTGGAATGATAGTGACCGCGTCTTCCTCTTATTTACAACAAGAACCTGGGGCACGCATATTAGCTTCTATTCGGAAGAGCTATTTGTTCGAGATGTTAGAAGACCGTACCCGCATTCAGTCCGGATGTCGCAGGACCCATATGCCGTTCCTGATTTGTTCATGAACGACCTCCTCAAGTGCGAAAAAGGTCCCTAGGCAATACCGCACGACTATGATGAGCTCTGTAGCTGCTCACGCCGCAGGCCACTGATTGTATTGACTGCAAGCTTTTTAATACAGAGGCAACCAGAAAGGTGGCATCGAGTGACAGCAACGTTAACCATGGTTCAATGATGACCTCAAGGAGTTTATTTAAGAATCGCTTGAGTAAGTGTACTTTTATTGACGAGCTCTCTATGAGAAATTTCATTTTCCGAAAACATGGCTCAGGCGGTAAATGCGCTGAACCAATTTGGGGGCTAGATTAGAGCTTGGTAGGTGCTGATGGGGATGCACATCCATAACAAATACCATATATATTGGTGTGATGGCAGACCTAATAGTTGGCTCGGGCCACGCCAGCCACTTGCGCCCAATCCTTGCATAAGATAACTGATCGATTCAGACAGTGTGTCAGAGGGTGGGAAGAGAGAGTGAGGCAAATTCTGTGGATTGCATCTGCACGGCACTCGGCGCATATTCTTCATTATAAACAATCTTAACCGCTTTTAAAATACCACGGTGCGCTAAAATTCATGGCTTGGGAAGCTGCCAACCGATGAAATAACTCAGTCCTCTAAGGACGGAGAATCGGGCTGCAGGTGCTCCTTCCTAATGTAATCTCTATGGCAACCCCGATTTGGTAATGACACTGGGCCAATGAGGATGAGGGAAGGGGGAATGTTAAGTCAAGGCAAGTCAAATTTATTAAAGGAAATATAGGCAAACGCCTTTGAACTCCCTCTTGGTACATAGGTTTTAAGAAATGCATCAGCATAGCCGAACATTCCAAAGAAGTCGTTGACACAATTTCAGACGACGATCTTTAAATACATGTGATCATTTCTTGCATCGAGGTTTTTTGAAGTTTGGATGAAAATTCTGTCTAGCGTTTATAAGAAGCAAAACAGGTTATATTTGCTTAAACGACCTTTTCATGCGAACTGTCCCGGCTTGGTACCACACATTTAGACCAAAGATTTGGAAAACTTATTGTCACTGTTTACTTATCAAAAGAAATGGTCGGCTTACATTACTTTCACAAAGGGCAAATATTGTCGCGAAAGTAGCAGGCCAGTCAACTTAGTCGAAGGTTAGTTTTTTTACGACTATGTTCATCCTGAAAAGATAGCTTAAGATAAAGGAATTCACGTCAATGAGAATGCCCCTTTTCAGCTTGGGACTGACTGAAGCAGACGGCCTCATGTCTGAAACAGCTATCATCTTTAAAATTGAAATCATATTCAGATAGCTACGTTTAGTAAAAAATGCTTCGCTGGAAAAGAAAACACTTTCTCTTCTTTTCTGCATGTGAAGACAAATGTTAGGTACGTTAAAACGCATTTCTCGTTCAGATAAAAATAGCTTGGTTACATCCTGGACCATTCGGTTGGAACACACCCTTCTGAATGGGGACGAAAGGACAAACAGCAGGATTCTCCTTAGGGTTTAGGCCAGATAAGTGTCCTTCTTCCACTTTTACATCCCCTCCCTCTCCTGTCAAAATAATTTCTGACGAGTCAAATGGGGACAGCTCATAATAAATGTTGGATAGCAGATAAATTAAAGCACATCAAGAAAATAGATAAGATCGTCACAGACAAACGTCTGTATCTTAAAAATCACCGGTAGTGGTAGGTTATATAAGCCACCTTAGCCACCACTAATGCCTGGATCGTGTAGAAAGGGTAGCCTAGTATTGGGGGTTTTGAGGACGGGGCGTCATCGCGAATAAACAGGGAAATGCATGCGAGGAAACGTAAAAATGAGCAAATTTCCGTTAAATTTATTCTTCTAGGTCTGTATATAGCAACGATTTTGAGAAGGATATTAAACAAAAATAAATAAATGTAACTCCCAATAAACGAAAATAATTTGCATAACACAGACCACAAGTACATAACTTTGCATATTGACGCTCGTTGACGAGCAAAAAGGTGCGAGTTCAAGGCTCGGGGGTGCACCCTGTAAGTCTGGGTAGGACTGGCTGACGACGGCTAATAAGCCAGAAAGTGCTATTCCATTCTCTATTTTCTTTGCCGGTAATATTATCTGACTTTGTATATTTCTTTTTATGAATATATTAGTTAATTCACAGGGAGTTACTCTCCGTAGCTATCAGATAATAAATCAAACCAGACCGAGCTATATGTTTTAAATCAAGGGGCTTTTATAAACCATTATTTTTCCTTTCGTATTTGATTATTTAATCGATGGATTAACGAATGAAACCTGACTCGTTCAGACGAACACTCTGATCATTCTCAAGGTTTCCTCATTTAAAGCATCTTTTCTATGGTGCAATTTTGAAGATTGCGTAAACAGCAGAATTTATTGGAGTGCACTCTCGAAATAAATGGATCCAATAAATTCTGCTGTTTACCCAACTTTCAAAAGTCTCCTCATTTCTTACGCATTTAAAATGAAAGGAATTATACTTTACGCAATAAATCTGCAGGTTGGATCATTCGAAAGAGCCCTTTCCTTCCGCACAATAACGCACAGACACATCTTTCATTCAGGTCGTTCCGATAACCCGTGGACTTGAATAAACACGACCCGTCTCAGTATATTGCGTCAGGAATCTTTCCAGAACAGATTTTAACCGTTTGCAAAACCTTACATACGTCCTCTGTGAGTCACTGTGTGAGCTGACAACCACTAAATAAATCTTTGGCCGTAACTTTTGCGAGGGAGGAAGGAGTAAGCTACTTTTTGCTGGTAGAACGCGGTGGCCTTCGTAGTGCTTGCTTCGGTTGATGCGGAGCTGAGAACTGATAAGTAAATCTTTTAATACCGACAAAATATAAGAGCTCCTAACGCTGAGAACGTTAAGTATAATGCCGGAAAATACTGGACAGTCATTTTGTCGAAACACGCTTCTAAATAGTAGTCCCAAAGTAGATCTATATTTATGTTTATTATTTATTTTGATGTTTTTGGGAAAAGTTCCTTTTTGTATGAGCGGTAAAATTGTGTGTTCTGAGGAGACGTTTATAGAAACGAACCTGCCAAATATTGTGTTTCGCCTGATATTTTCCGACCCCAGGCAGATAATATCAGTTTATATCGCTCTATTAAACTGTTTGCTATGCTCCAAATGGACTTATTTTCTGCGACGATAGGCCGTCCGAAGTTGCGCATGCATGTA